AACCGACTAGGCCACCCAGGCGCCCCTAAAAAGTGTTTTTTTAAAGTTTATTTATTTTGAGAGAGCAAGTGACAGAGCACAAGCAGGGGAGGGTCAGAGAGAGAGGGAGTCACAGACTGAAACAGGCTCCAGGCTCTGAGCTGGCAGTCAGCACAGAGCCCGACGCGGGGCCCGAACCCACGAACCACGAGATCATGACCTAAGCGAAAGTTGGACGCTTAACCGACTAAGCCACCCAGGCGCCCCTGGAGGCAGTTTTCAAACCAAGGCACAGGAAGGGGGAACCCAAGCAGGGCACAGCAGTCCCCCTGATTTGAAGAGACGGGACTTGGAGTTTGGGGCAGTTGAGCCTTGCGGGAGTCTGTCCTTGTGTCACTTGTTCGTTCTGTCAGTCCTGAGTAGGAAGCAGAAACAGACACTGGGGAAGCTTCCCTAAGAAGGCTCTCACTGCCTGAGATCTGAAGGATGGCTGAGTCTACCAGGCAGAAACAGGAGGGGAAGGGTGTTGGAGGCAGTGGCAAGGGAGGGGACTGGCGTCCAGGCCCCCCTGGGAGTTCCCCACCTGCCCCATCCTACTCAGACCTGGGCAGAGAGCAGCCATGAGCAACGTGGAGGGATGGCCTTGACTAAGCCCCTGCATGGTACCCAGGACAGGTGGACAGAACGAGTGATCAGTGTGTCCAGAGGCGGGTGTGACTGAGTGGGGGCACTTTTCTCAGTCCCACGGCCTGATCTGGTGGGGGACATGCTGGGATGTGCTTAGGGAGGCTGACCGGGAGAGCAGGGAGTGGGTGGGCCTGGGGGAGGGGAGCTTTCCGTGTGTGTGTGTGTGTGTGTGTGTGTGTGTGTGTGTGTCACTGTGAACCTCTCGACCTGCTCCCGGATTGGCTGATGCTGCTGCACAGGCTGACAATGGAAATGCTTGCGCAGGAGAAACGCTTCTATTCAGGTGTCTCGCATTAATCTATGGAGGGGGTGGCAGCGGCAGCTAATTTGGGTATTTGCTTGTCTTTGAATGGGGGTAATTACTGGGAGTTGCCTATTGTTCCAGATTGTTCCCTGGAAGAAGGGTGGGGGGAGCACTCTCACGGGCTCTGCTGAGCGCTGCCCCCTGCAGGCAGTGTGGTGAAGTCACAGAGGGGCGGTCTGGTCTAGGGAGCAAAGGGATGGAGTCAGGGGACCCCAGGATCATAGCAGGCAGGGCTGGGCCAGTAGGGCCCTGAGAGGTCACGTGACCCAACCCGCTCATTTTACTGCTGGAAGAACCGAGGCAGAAGGGAAGGGACTTGCCCAGGGGTGCACCGCGTGGGCCCAGCCAGGCTGCTTGGCTCCGGGGAACGACCTTCCTGCTGGCCATGCCCCCCGCCCCGAGTCTGTCTGGAACTCCCCAGGCTGGGGAACATGTGTGTCAGGAACCCCCTTTCCTTTCTCTGACTGCAGGAGACCCGCGCAGTGGCGGGGTCACCGAGGCCAGCAGCCTCCTGGGGGGCTCGCCGCGGCGTCCATGTGGCCGGAAGGGCTCCCCTTACCACACGGGGCAGCTGCACCCCGCAGTGCGCGTGGCCGACCTCCTGCAGCACATCAACCAGATGAAGACGGCCGAGGGCTATGGCTTCAAGCAGGAGTACGAGGTGCAGGGCCCCAGGCCAGCCGGGCCCCCTCTCCAGGGCCTCGCCTGGCTCCTCCTCACGGCGACCCCGACCCTGGGCAACCCTCAGCCTAGCCCTGGATGGACCTTTGCTCTGACAGTCCCTAACTCAACCTAATTTTTTCCGTTTCCCTTGTTCCCAATCTCAGACTGTCCTGGTTTCTCACACTCATTCTAATCCTGACTTGAAATCTGACCTTGAATCTTCTCTTAGTCTCCATCTAGACCCTGATCATGACCTTTATCTAATATGACTCTGACCACCAATACTGACCCTGACCTCTAACCTAACACCCAGTCTGCCTTTGACCTGGACTCATCCTGAATTCCATTTGAACTCTAATTTGAATCGCATCTTCCCTCCATCTGGACTCTGACACCACCTTATTCTAATCTTGATTTGACTTTCGCCTTTATCTTCTTCCCACCTCAAACCTGGATTTACCCTAAACCTGATCCTCATTCTAAAGTGTCGGTGGACTCTGACCCTCTTTTTCCTCTGATTTTCTCTCTTTCTTCCCTTTGGTTTTGATTTTAGGCCCTTGCTGATAAAGGGATATGCAGTGACTTTATCTCAGGTGCCACGTTGAACCCTGAATCTGCCCCTTATCTGCGGTCCCATTAGTATCCTGTTGAGGGGATGGGGTCTTACAAGGGGAGGATCCCCACCCCCACCCCCACCCCCCGCCATTGACAGCCACTTTACTTTCCCTTCCGGCAGAGTTTCTTTGAAGGCTGGGATGCCACAAAGAAGAAAGACAAGGTCAAGGGCAGCCGGCCAGAGCCTGTGCCTGCCTGTGAGTCCTTGGGAAGGGCCTGGGTCTGGGGCAGTGGTGGGAGGTAGCAGGGAGGGCGAGAGCAGCCAGAGCGAACCATTTATTGAGGGCCTCCCACATGCTAGGCCATGTGCTGATTATTACACCCATGATTTTACTTACTCCTCTTAATAATCCAGTGACATGGGACATATTATAACCCCCACTTCACAGATAAGGAAACTGAGGCTTGGGAGGTTAAGCCCCCTGCTCCAGGTCACACAGCTAATACTTGTCTAAGTAGCACATGACCTTGGGCCTCCTTGGTACCGTCGCCCAGATTCTAACCGCTGGCCTGTCCTGCCTCCTCTGGTGCCAAGAGCGTCCTGGTCAGCCCTGAGCCTCTGGGTCCCCTGTGCCTGTGCCACACCTCTGGCCTCCAGGAAGCCTTCCTTCATTTCCCCAGCTCTGCGCTCCTCAGCCCACCACCCCATGGCCACCTGCTTTGTGTTTCCAGATGATCGGCACCGAGTGAAGCTGCCCCCGATGCTGGGAGGCCTGGATGCCGACTACGTTAACGCCAACTACATAGACGTGAGTGCCTCGCCGCCGTCATCCCTGCTGGCTGGCCTGGCCCTGCCCAATCCAGGCGCACTGCCTGGGGGCAGGGCCGGAAACCTGGCAGGGAATGTTTGGGGGTTTGCCCCCACCTCCTGCAGTCAGCACCAGGGAGCTCAGAGGAGGGGAGGGCAGAGCAAAGCCGTCAGGAAAGCTCCCCACAGGGCAGACAGATGGGGGACTTGAGGGAAGCAGAATGAACACATGTGGGCAGACAGCTAGGCCTGGGGCTGAGGAAGGAGCCCCCTCTCAGTGAGAGGCCAAGAGGCTCAGAGGTGGGGTTCGCATGACACACAGTAAGGCTGCAGGTAGGCAGGGGCTGGACTGTGCAGGCCTCCGATGGCAGGTTTAGGAGTTTGGCTTTTTGCCTGGGGTACCAGGGAGTTGCTGAAAGTGTTCTGTGATCAGAGTGGTACTTTAAGAGTAACAACTCATGTTTATTGAACATGTATTATGTGCCAAGCACTTTATACCGAAGATGTCGTTTTCTATAATCCCTACAATCATGCTATGAGGTAGTTAGCATCATGGCCTCACGTTACAGGTGAGGAGACCGGCTCAGAGAGGGGGAGCTACTTGCCCAAGGTCACAGAGCAAGGGCGTGGGCAAAAAGGGCCCCCCATCTCAGCCTGTGTCTCCAGAGCCTCCGCTGCTAACCAGGAGGCTCTTCTGCCATCCAGTGCAGCAGCGGGGTCTGGCGGGACCAGAGGAAGGGTCCGGGGCCAGGGCGGGCAGCTAGGAGGCCCGGGTTTGGGTGGTGAATGAGGGTGAGGGGGAACAAGGCCCAGGGACCCTGGTCAGACTCCCCTGCCCTGACAGCAGGCCGAATTGGGGAAAGAATTGTTTCTTCACTTATCAGATATATTTTGAGCATCTGCTGTGTGCCAGGCATTGTGCTGGGCCCCAGACATGCAGCAGTGACTGGGATAGACAGAGTCCCTCCTCTCCTGGGATGTGTAGGTTGTAGTGCGGGAGACCTGGAAACATATATATAAGTGAAATAACTTCAGATTAGCTGGGAAAGCACAGGCCAGAAAAGGGGCATGACCTTCCCAGTGTCACACAGCAAGTTAGTGGTCGGGCCAGGGTTAGCCATGGCAAGCTGCATGGAGGTGGGGGCTTGAGCTGGCGTTGGGTGGCCGGCGATGAAAGGGTGGGAGTGGGGGGCAGCAGGAGTGAAGTGGGAGGAAGGTGTGTACCTGGGAGGGGGGACAGTCAGGGACTCTGGAGACCTCTCCTCTCCCTCTTCTTCACCTCTGGGGGGGCAGAAAAATATGCCATGTTTTCCAGAATTCCTTGCCTTCTCCCCCACCTCCCATGCTCTCCCCTGACTGGAGTACGGGCCGGGCCTAGCCTCTTAGACTTAGGCGACAGGAGCCTCTTCTGGGTCTCCTCAGTGTCCCAGGTGGCTTCCCTTGGGCCGACGCAGGCTCACGCCGCTTCCGCTCTCGGGCCCAGCCCGGCCCCCATCTCTGCTCCTCCTCCCCTGCTCACATCGCCCATCCTGGCCACTCCTGTGCTCCGTCCACCTCCATCTGCCTCTGGCCTAATATCTGTCTCTTTTGCTTTGTACTGTTCCCTCACTGGAATCATTAAGATTCGGATTAACCGTGAAGTAAGTATCTCTCTCCCCGTCTCCTCCTCCTCTTCCTCCTCTTCCTGTCTGTCTGTCTCACCAGCTGTATCTCAGACTCTCTCTGGCTGTCTTTCTCTCCGTCCCTGTCTCTACTGTCCTTCCCCTCCACTCGTGTGCCCAACGCCAGCCGTCCATTTCAGCAGCGTGGCCAGGGGCCGCCCGGGGCTGCAGATTCGACACTACCCCTGTTGTCAGCGATTCCTTCCCGCCCACCACTGCGCTGACATGGGCCATCGGTGTTGGGGTGCTTCCACGGGCCCCATTCACCAGCCACCACCTTCTGCCGCCTTTGTCCCCCAGGCCCCCATGCCCGATGAGTCTGCCTAGCCGTACCTTCTGAGGGGCCCCAGGAGTGGTGGGCGGGGGGAGCCACTCTGGGTGCCCCATCTCTGCTGTTTGGGGGACAGCGTCTTCAAGGAAGCAAGAAAGTCCTGCTGGTCCCCTTAAAACTAGTTTCTCGGGTATTCAAATCCCTTCAAGTCAGTTTGCTTGAAACTCAGCCCTAACTACCTTGCCGCCAGTTTAGCCCTACTTGGAATCTTTTATTTTGGGGGTGCAGTTTCGCTTTTCTGTCTTTAAAAATTGGGTCATTCCTGGGTCTTCCAGGAATATTTTTAAAAATCCTATTCATCTAGTGATCCTTTAATTTGATTTTTAATATACACTCGACCCTTGAATAGCATGGCTCTGAACTGCACTGATCTACTTTCTTACTTTTTTTTTTTAAAATAAATACAATACAGTATTATAAATGTATTTTCTCTTCCTTGTGATTTTCCTAATAATATTTTCGTTTTTCTAGCTTACTTAAGAATACAGTATATAGTTCCATATACGAAAATATGTGTTACTTGACTGTGTATGTTATCAGTAAGGCTTCTAGTCAACTAGGCTATTAGTAAAGTTTTTGGGGAGTCAAAAGTTATGCGTGGAGGGGGTCAGCACCCCTAACTCCTGTATTATTCAAGGGTCAAATGTATATTATTATTTTTTAAATAATATTTGATTACCTGATGGGGTTGTTTGTTATTTTGTGGGTACCGTTCTATTTTATCTCCTTTTATCTTTTAAAAATATTGCTTCTTATTTTTTTTAAGATTGCAAAAATATAGTTCATTATCATATTTCAGACAATACAGAAATATACACATCTCTGTGTACATGAAGTGAAAGTTCCCTGCGGTGACAGCTGCTGGAGGACCGGCAGCTGGTCCCAGACAGCCCCCTGCCCCCCATTTTGAGAGTGCTTACAGTTTGTAACATTCCCAAGTTTAAACGGAGTATTAGGCCCATGAGATGCAGTGGATATACTCAGCCCTAGCGCCCCCATTAGGAGGTGATGAATATAGATACAATTCTTTCTTTTTTAATGTTTTTATTTATTTTTGAGAGGGGGAGAGAGAGAGAGAGAGAGAGAGAGAGAGAGAATGAGTGGGGGAGGGGCAGAGAGAGACAGAGACACAGAATCGAAAGCAGGCTCCAGGCTCTGAGCTGTCCGCACAGAGCCTGATGGGGAGCTTGAACTCATGAGCCTTGAGATCATGACCTGAGCCGAAGTCAGATGCTCCTCCGACTAAGCCACCCAGGCGCCCCAAGGTACATTTCTTTGTATCTGAATCTCCATACAGTACATAGCCCTGCCCTTTTGGTTCCTTGTTGTCACTCTTCAGTGCCCTCAGGAGACTTAGTAATACATCCTCACATGCCAGTTAATGAGAGTGTCATTGGCTGGGCACCGGGCTCAGTGCCAGCACCTCAGGCCCCTCATTTCCTCTTCGTGATACTCTGAGAGGAGGGACCAGCAGTTGGTGGATGAAAAAATGGAGCCTTAGAAAAGTTCAGTGACTTGCTCATGGCCACATGGAGCTGGACCTCAAGCCCAGCATGAGCCGTCCCCCCCTCATACTAGACTGTGGTTGTCTCCCTGTGCGGGGGCTCGGGACGCCTTGGGGTGCTTGCCAATGATGCAAGTGGTCAGTCCCCCAGCACCACCCAACCAGACGCTCCAGGAGGCAGGCGTATGTGCCCCAGGAGTAGGTGCCCAGACCATGCTGATGCCCGGAGGGGTGAGGACCAGTGTGCTCTCAGATGCTCTTTCTCAAGTGGGTGTGTGCTCAAGGTGATCCGTTGAACACCTGATCATTTGACACTTTGTGCTGCAGTGTTCTCTATGTCATATAATTGTGCAGGAATGCACACCTGCGATGAATAAGTTAAGGTGCAGATGCTAAGATGATCTGTTTAAACCTCGTTCAGCTGTGTACTGTGTTTGCTGACCAGCTTGGGTGCTGGCACTGTGCCGGGCTCCGGAGGGGCAGAGATGGGTGAATCGGAAGAGATGCTTGCTCTCATGCGAGATTCTCAGGCAAGCTGGAAAAGGCGGAGTAGCCTGTTCCCAGCTTGACCAGTGCTGGAGGTGGGGGGCCAGCACTGGTCCCCCTTTGCCTTTGCTGGGCCTTCTCCTTGGACCCCAGGTGCCCAGCAGCTCAGCCGAGGACTCGAGGCAGAGGCAGTGGCTGGGGAATTGGTATATATCCAGAGAGGTTCCACTGGTGAGGGCTGAGTGGCTCTGGGACGCTCTTCACTACTGGTAACTTTAACTGTGTTTTGGGCATGGTGTGTAGGTATAGAGCAGGAGCTCAGGGGGCGGTGTCTCACCGTTGTCCCCATATCGCAGAAGGGAACAGAATGCTCACAGGCTGAGAGTCTGGCTACTCCAGTGTGTTTTGAGATCCAGCATTGGTACCACCTGGGAGCTGGTTGGAAAAGCAGTCCTGGGCCCCACCCCAGACTGTCTGAATTGGAATCTCCCTTTTAACAAGATCTCTGGGAGATTCCTGTGCCCTTTTAGTGCCCGGAGTCACATGGCTGTTCTGTAGAGCTGAGCTAGGAACCCAGGTCAACTTGACTCTCCATACTCGGACTCGGATTCTTTCTTTCTTTCTTTCTTTTTTTTTTTTAAAGTTTATTTATTTTGCGAGAGAGGGAGAGAATCCCAAGCAGGCTCTGAACTTCCAGTGTGGAGCCTGATGCAGAGCTTGAACTCATGAACTGTGAGATTATGACCTGAGCCAAAATCAAGAGTTGGATGCTTAGCCGACTGACCTACCCAGGTTCCCCCAAACTCAGATTTTTTAACCCCTGTCATAAACCATCTGCCCTAGGAATTCTGGACATCCATAGTATTTGAATCTCCAGGGATACACTCTTTGAACTTCAAAGTAGCAGCTACACTAACAGCTTCTATTAAGTCCTGAGTGTGCTGGCTGTGGTGCCAGACCCTTGACATATGTTACTTTGTTTACTCCTCACAACAGCCCTAGGAGGGAAACGCTGATTCCCATTCTGTAGATGTGAAAATCGAGGCATAGAGAAATGATGGGAGTTGCCTGAGGGTGGCACGGCTAGCAAGAGGTAGAGCTGGGATGTGAACCCTGGTAGCCTGACTCCAGGGCTCCCTCTGCACCCGAGTAGCGGGGAAGCTGGGTTGTGGCTGAGAACTTGAGGCGAGCAGCCGAGCTTGATTGTCCTCTGTTCCATCTGTGCTGCAGTACTTTTTTGCTTCCCAGGTTGCCTGCACGAATGCCCTGGGGGTCACGTGTGGGCAGGACCTCGTGGGTGGCTGTGACTTCGCGATGGGAGTTGGGGCTGGCTTCTGTTTGCGGCCTGAGGGCTCCGGGGGTGGAGGATGAGGTGTCCTCTCTTTTGTGGGAGATGCTGTAGGTAAAGTGCTTAGCACAGTATGTGACCATAGTAGGGTGCAAAACTTATTATTATTATTATTTTTTAAATATTTTATTTATTTTTGAGAGAGAGAGAGAGACAGCATGAGCAGGGGAGGATCAGAGAGAGAGGGAGACACAGAATCTGAAACAGGCTCCAGGCTCTGAGCTAGCTGTCAGCACAGAGCCTGATGCGGGGCTCGAACCCACGAACCCTGAGATCATGACCTGAGCCGAAGTCGGGTGCTCAACCAACTGAGCCACCCAGGTGCCCCAAATTATTACTATTATTGATTTTAAAGATTTAAAATACATTTTACATGAGGGCCATGAGTATCCCACGTGCCCATCTGCTTCCAGCCTGAAGCCCTTATCCGGGTCTGTGGGTCCCCCAAGCTCTGGGTGACATGTCGAGGGGAGGGGCACTGCCCATCTGGTTGCCCCGAGGTGGCTGGGTTGACTGATAAGACCCAGCCTGGGGTCTGGGGTTGATTAGGCCTCAGGGGCTTTGGGGACACCCTGGTAACTTGGGTAGGGTCACCATGGTCTTTATTTGTACCCAGACAGCTGTGTTGTAAGTTGATTGTGGCTAATCCCCTGTTTATGGGTGGGGAGACCTTTGAGGACCACAAAGGAGTCACGTCCTCTGTGGTGTCACATGGCAGAGATGGGTTTGGACCCAAGACCGTGGTGTCCCAGCTGCTCTTCCCTCCTTGCTGGGGGGCTGCGGGGGCAGGGCCACCGCACTTTGGAGGGTCTCGGGAAGAGGGCGGGCAGTCGGCTGTGGGGTGGGTGTGCCGCTTCCGGGAGAGGAGGGCAGAGGGGGTGAGATCTGGAGTGTGGTGCTGCTCCCTGGGGTCTCACCGCCCCTTCTTCTCCTGTTCCAGGGTTACCACCGGTCCAATCACTTCATAGCCACTCAAGGTACCTGCACCCCTGCCTGTGTGCCCCCGTGTGCCCCCATGTGCCCCCGTGTGCCCCCGTGTGCTGAATGCGCTCTGCCGCCTTTCTGCCTTCCTCTGGTCTGCTTGACTCTCCATCTGCCTCCCTGCTGTCCCTCTGCCTGTCTGAGCGCCCCCGTTTGGTGGGGTCTTCTGGAATCCAGCCACCAGTCTCTGCCCCTCTTTGTTTTTGTGTCTCCCCTGTATGCTCAGTGCGTCTGTAGCTCCCTCGTCCATCTGTCTGTCTCTGAGGTGGTGCCTGCAGAAGGGGTAGCCAGGCTCAGTCCTGACGAGTGTGGATTGTGCTTTTTTGTCCGGGGGCTGCCCAGGTCCCTCTGGCTGTCTTCCCCCACCCTCCCCCACCCCCGCCAATCATTTACTTGTCCATCCCTCCGGGAGACTTGCGCCAGAGACCTAGGATGTAGCCCCCCAGCTCTGCCCCCTGGGTTTCACTCAGGATGGGTGGAGTCTCCAGCCAGGCCTTCCCTGATGCTCTCAGGGCCCTCCAGGCATGAGTTGGCACCGGGTGGTGTGAGCCTGGGGTGATCACGAAGCCCTCACTAGGGCTCAGGAGACCCCTGGCTGGGGTGGTGGTGCTGGGCAGCAGGTGTGCTGGCCCGAGGTGGAGCCCTTGCCTCAGGGACTGGCACCCTCTGCGCCCCAGGGCCGAAGCCCGAGATGGTCTACGACTTCTGGCGCATGGTGTGGCAGGAGCACTGTTCCAGCATTGTCATGATCACCAAGCTGGTGGAGGTGGGCAGGGTAAGCAGGGCCTTGGGGTGAGGGGGTGAGGCGGGCCGGGGGGGCAGCGAAGAGCTCGCTGATCCCGCCCGTGGGGACTCCAGGTGAAATGCTCACGGTACTGGCCGGAGGACTCGGACATGTACGGGGACATCAAGATCACGCTGGTGAAGACGGAGACTCTGGCCGAGTATGTGGTGCGCACCTTTGCCCTGGAGCGGGTGAGTCTCCTGTCACCTGGTCCTTCCAGGGTGCCTGCAGGGGCGGGGCAGAGCCCGCCTCCCCACCTCCCAGCGCAGAAGCAGGAGGGTGAGGAGGGCTCCGCTGTCTTCCTCAGCAAGGCAGTCACTCTGTAACTGGGGAGCACTGCGGGGAGCACTACAGGAGGACAGGAAGAGGAGCACCATGGGGAGCATTGCTGGAGGACAGAGAGAGGAGCACTGCGGGGAGCATTGCTGGGGGACAGAGGGGGGAGCACTGCAGGGAGCATTGCTGGGGAACAAGAAGGGGAGCATTGTGGGGAGACTGTTGGAGAACAGGAAGGGGACTGCCCTTTACTGGCGACTCTTCCAGATGATGGAGTTGATGACAGTAGCTGCCAGGTGTCGGTCCCGCTCTGCACTGAGCATCGTGCTGAACCATGACACATGTTGGTTCAACCCTGAAAAGCTCTGGAATGAGGTGTTTCCATTAGTCCCATTGTACAAATAAAGAGAATGAGGTGGAGTCATTGCATCAGTCATGAGGCCACGTGACCAGTGCCTGGCAGAGTCCTCCTGTCTGTGATTCCATTTGATCCTCTGTAAATTCTCAAGGGACACACTTTCCCCCTTTAGACTAAGGCCAGAGAGTCAAAGTGACCCGTTGGGTTGCACAGCAACGTGGTGGCAGCGGCGGGTGATTGGCAGACAGGTTTGGGCGTCAGGCAGGCCCCGGCCCGGCTCCTGTATCGTTTTTGTCGGACAAGCAGTTTCTGCTCTCTGGGCCCTGGTTTTCTCGCTGGTATGATGAGTCACGAATACCCACTCACACGTTTATTATTGGGATTAATTGAGATCCTGTGGTGAGATGCTCACCCGGCAGGTGTCTAACTGACGGGAGCAGTGACTCTGCCTGTCTCCCCAGCGAGGCTACTCTGCCCGGCATGAGGTCCGCCAGTTCCACTTCACAGCGTGGCCGGAGCACGGCGTCCCCTACCACGCCACAGGGCTGCTGGCCTTCATCCGGCGCGTGAAGGCCTCCACCCCACCTGACGCCGGGCCCGTTGTCATCCACTGCAGGTGAGGCACTGGGATCCCCAGAAGGGGACTGGGCGTGGTGTTGTTCAAGGTCCCGGAGGGAGACTAGGCTTGGGTTCATCCTGCTTGGAGACAGAGGGAAGGGGAGACTGACCCCCACGGGCCCTTTGAGCTTTGGCTCTGAGGTCGGCACCCTCGTGTGCTTCCTGGGACCTGCGGAGGCCCTGGGCCTAGAGGCTGAGAAGGCGCAGGAGACGGGGGGCTGGGGATTGGTGAGGCGCCAGGCAGGCTGAGTTCTATCTGCTTCCATTCAGCATGTGTGCATAGCACACCTGCATGCTAGGTTCGGCCCAGGTGCTGGGAAGGGCTTTGCTTTCTCTTCTCCAAGTCCTGTGGGCTTTTCTCATGCTTGGCCTTCGCATCCTGTGCAGCTCCTGGCCATCACTCCTGTCTGTCCCAAATCCTGCCTTGCTTGGCTCCTGTGACCCCAGTGGCCCTTCCTCTGCTCTGCGTCCTCTCTGGCTGCACATCTTCCTCTTGCCTCTTAAGCGCCCTGTCTGGTTCCAGCCCCCACTCTCCTCCTGGGGAGCTTAGCCTCTAACCCTGTGGTTTTAGCAATTCTACTGGCCCACACGTCCTTGGCCTCTGTGTCTGTCCTGGCTCCTCTGCTTGGATCCCACTCAGCTTCCCAAATGCCACATGGCAGGCTCAGTCCCTCCCTGCCCCGCCCCCCCCCCCCTTACCACTTCTGCTTGGTGTCTTCAGGCTTCTTTAAAATAAGACTTTGTCGAGGTATAATATACTTAAAGCAAAGTGCACACATAATAAGTGTATCCATGCCTTTATCGATTTCTATAAATTGAACACACCTGTGAAATAACCAGCCCTGCTCAGCTCAAGAACTAGAACACTAACAGCTTCCAGAAGCCCCCTTGAGCCGCCTTCCAGTCTGTACCCACCTCCTGGCTCCCGGCTCAGTCACTATCCTGACATCTAAAGCATAAATTCATTTTGTGTTCTTTGAACTTCGTATAAATGGAATCATTCAGCGTGCGTGCTTTGGTGTCTGAACCTTATGTGTGCGAGATTCATCCATATTTCATCACATTCTACCGAGTGACTCATCCACAATGTGTTTATCCATTCTGCTATTGATAGGTGTTTGGGTTGTTTCCAGTTTTGAGCTATTATGAGTAGAGCCACTAAGGACATTCTGCTGCATGTGTTTGGGCCGGCTCAGGCGCGCATTTCTGGGGGCTACAGATGTAGGGGTGGGCTTGCTGCCTGTGTAAACATGCAGCTCTAGTAGAAAGAGGTGGTACTCATTGCAGCCCCCAACAGGGGTGGGTGGGAGACCCACTACTGTGTGTTCTTGCCAATGCTATGATAGCACCGCTTCGAGCTTGAAAGCTTAGTGTCTTTCTTGTCTTCTCGCTGCGCCCCTCGGCTCAGCTCAGCTCTTTCTGAGCATGCGCATTCCCGAGGCGGGTCCGACCCAGCCCAGCTGTCGAGGAGCTCCTGGTCAGGTCCGGGAGACAGCCACGTAAATGATGGCCATGTAGCAGGAAGAGTGTTTGACAAGAGCATGCCCAAATTACTCTCGGAGCTCAAAGGAATGACATCTGGGGAAGGGCTTGGGGAGGCTCCGTTGAGCATGTGAGCAGGTGATGTGATGTGGAGGGCTCTGCTGGGTACCCAGGAGGCAAGAACATTCTTGGATTAAGCTCTGAGCATCACCTTTGTCCTCCTCCCAGCCACACTGCTACCCTTCCCCTCCTCCCCTCCTGGGGCCAGTCCCCAGCTCTGTCTTGTGTCACATTTCACCACGACTCCTGCTGCATTTGCCTCCCTGGCTCCTCCTTGCTGGTGAGGTGGGGTGTCTCTCTGTCCCCCAGTCCCTGTGTGGTGTAGACATGACCAGGTACCCCAGAACCCCTCTTCCCTTCTTCTTGGTCCCGAGCTCCTTCACCAGGCCCTGACGGGGACCCTGGCTGCTCTCTCCCCAGTGCGGGCACCGGCCGCACAGGCTGCTACATCGTTCTGGATGTGATGCTGGACATGGCGGAGTGTGAGGGCGTTGTGGACATTTACAACTGCGTGAAGACCCTCTGCTCCCGGCGCGTCAACATGATCCAGACAGAGGTGGGGGACGCAGCCCTCCTCCCCTCCCCTCTCCAGGGCTTGGGTCCCTCGCGGAGGATCTCGGAGCTGGTGGAGTGTGTCAGAGGGGTGTTCTTAGGGCCGAGATCCCTGAACCCGGCCTGCCTGCCTCTTAGGGTCTTCCCAGAGTCTGCCCCACTGTGTTCATTTGGGTGAGGTCACACAGCAGTGGGCCAAGGTCAGGTTCCACAGTCAAGATCCACTTGTGTTTGCCCTGCCCTCACCTTCAGAGCTTCTCACGGGGCTATTACAGGGGTGAATATGAGAGGAGCCAACATCCCCATGAGGGTTGTTTCAAGCAGGGTTGGTCCAACCTGTAGTAACGGGGGCTTGGCCTCCAGCACCCCTGCCTCAACCCTGGGCTTGCTTCCCCTGCCATCACCCCAAAACCTCTAGGCTCTGGCTCCCTTATGTTCTCTCTTCCTGTTCCAGGAGCAGTACATCTTCATTCATGATGCAATCCTGGAGGCCTGCCTATGTGGGGAGACCACTATCCCCGTCAGCGAGTTCAAGGCCACCTACAAGGAGATGATCCGCATTGACCCTCAGAGTAATTCCTCCCAGCTGCGGGAGGAGTTCCAGGTGGGGCATGAGCGTGTGTATAGGAGTGTGGGTGTCATTTGTGAATGTGTGTGAGTGTGTGTGTGTATTGGGAAGTCCTGAGTGCCATAGGCGTCATTGAGAGCCAAGAAAGAGGGACCAGAGTGGGGTTACTGGGAAGGACTTAGAGACGGTGGAAGAGGTGGTACATCCAAGCAGTTGAGAGCCTGTGCTTTGAAGTCAAATAAACCTGAGGTCAGATCCTGGCTTGGTTAAGAGCTGTGAGTGGCCTTGAACATTCACATTACTTCCCCGAGTTTTGGTTTTCTTATCCAGGAAAGAAAGTCAACATTGCCCTTGCAGTGTTTGTACTCATTAGGATTTCTTTTGGTTGCAAGTGACAAAAATCCAACTGCATCACTCTTGTAACTGAAGAGGCTGAAGATGGTGCAGCTTCAGTTATGGCTGGATCCAGGGGCTCAGATGATGATGCCAGAACTTAGTCTCTGTCCAGTTTTAGTTCTGCTTTCCTTTGCTTTCGGCTTCTCAGACCCGCACCCTGGCCCCCAGCAGTGCCAGGCTCATGTCAGGAGACCGGAAAAAGGACTCCCAACAGCCCCCACAGAAGTCCTAGAGCAGACTCTCCTGTGCCTTCCCTGAGCCTGTCACCAGGGCCAGGGACACACTGATGGGCCCAGGAATGGTTATGGTGGTGGAGCCACTCTCAGCATGTCACGTGACTGAGATGGGGGGGGCATCAGTGGGCATGTTCTCAGTGGGCAGGCAGAGTCCCCCCCAGGTCCCCATGTCCTCTGCACCGCAGGCTCCTCTGAGGGTTCAGTCAGGGATGGCACCTTCTGGAAACCTGATGCTGTCTGTAGAGCCAGTGTCGACTGGTGTCACAGGAAGTGCTGCCTGTGACTCTTGGGGCCAAGAGTGTTGCCTATTGGGCTCTGGGGATCATGAGACACTGGGGCTCCCTGTTCGGGGTCCCCAAGGACAAGAGGAAGAAGCTGAGACCCCGTCGATCAGGCTGCATGAGGCATGAGGTGGAGGAGATAACCCGGGGCCCCAGTCTTGCCGCAGCCATGGGTGCCTCGGACTTGCGTTTTGTTCAGACAGGGCTGACCATCTCTGCCAGGTCCCCGGGGTCCGCCTTGTGGAAGACGTGGGGATTCCGGGCTTGTCTGCCTTTTTTCTTTCTTTCTTTCTTTTTTTTTTTTTTTTTTTTTTTTTTTTTTTTTAATATTTAGTTATTTATTTGAGAGAGAGACATTGAGGGGTGGGGAAGGGCAGAGAGAGAGGGAGACACAGAATCCGAAGCAGGCTCCAGGCTCTGAGCTGTCAGCACAGAGCCTGATGTGGGGCTTGGACTCATGAGCTGTGAGATCGTGACCTGAGCCAAAGTCAGATACTTCACCTACTGAGCCACCCAGGCACCCCAGTCTTGTCTTCTTGAAAGCACCTGATCAGCTCGTAAAGGTCCTCACTGTGCCTTCCAGTATGGAGACTTGCGTGTGCCTGGTGCTGTGCTCGGTCTTTGGCGTTATCTCTTTATCTTCCCACTAGCCCCCTGAGGCAGGCATATTATTATCCCACTTTACAGCTGAGGAAAGTAGTGCTGAGAGATTCGGCAGCCTGTCTAAGGTGGTGCAGGGAGCCAGGAGGCACACTCGAGTCTCCAGAGCTGTTCAGAGCCCACGCGGGCTGGAGGCAGGGAGCCTGGGGTCCAGACTCAGTTCTCCATCCATAAAATGGGGTTAATAACCCAGCTCAGTGTCCTTCAGCCGCGGTTGTGAGGGGGCCCGGCAGACACGGGATGTCTGTAGCCACCAAGCCCTACCCTGTTCCTCCTTGCACGCTGTGTAGACGCTGAACTCGGTCACACCACCCCTGGATGTAGAAGAGTGCAGCATCGCCCTGCTGCCCCGGAACCGGGACAAGAACCGCAGCATGGACGTCCTGCCGCCTGACCGCTGCCTGCCCTTCCTCATCTCCACCGACGGGGACCCCAACAACTACATCAACGCGGCCCTGACCGACGTGAGCGTGGGGGGCGGGGCGGGCTCCGGGAAGGCTCCGGAGCCCAGGGGGAGGGTGGGGGGCTCTGGTCGGGAGGAGGTCAGGCCGGGGAGCCGAGTCAGTGCCTGTCACTGGTCTGAGGCCCGGAGCTGGGGTCTCAGACCCTTCACCTGTGGAGCTGGAAGGGACTTAGAGTTTTATTTATTCAAAGATTGTATTGAACTCCTACAATGTGCTGGGCACAGGCCATACCCCTGAATCTCTGCTCTCCTGAACCTTGTATTTGGTAATGGGTTGGGACAGTCGACATACAGTGGCATGTCAGACACTGGTAATTTCTACAAAAAGCAAGCAGGCAAAAGTAATATGCAGTGCGGGCTTTGGGGGGGAGGGTGTATATGACGATTTTTAATGAGGTGGTAAGGAGGGCCTCTTTGAGGAGGTGACCGTTAAGCAAAGAGCACAAAAAAGGGAGGGAGAGAACCATAAATTTGTTCTAGGCAACAGGAATAGCACATGCTAAGGCCCTGAGGCAGCGAGCAAACTTGGCCAGCCTCTAACCTCCATGCCCAAGTTCCCATTGCCGCATATATGGGAATCTTTCGTGTTTAGTTCCCAGGGTTATGGGGTTGGCCACTAGAGGCCTGGGGGCTCACCTTATGAATTCAGGCCTTAGTGTGCCAGCCAGCCTCTCAAATGGGCCACTGGAGGCAGCCTGGCCCCAAGGGGAGGGCTGTGCAGCCCAGGGTGGGCGGAGCGGGAGGACGGCCTGTGGGGGTGCTCAGGCCCTGCCAGGGGCGGTGAGCAGGCCCCGCTGAGTCCCAGTCTCCCTGCAGAGCTACACACGGAGCGCAGCCTTCATCGTGACCTTGCACCCACTACAGAGCACCACGCCTGACTTCTGGCGGCTAGTCTACGATTACGGGTGCACCTCCATTGTCATGCTCAATCAACTGCACCAGTCCAACACCGCCTGGGTGAGCCTCCACTGCCCAGGGCCTCGCTGTGCCCAAGGGCAAGGCCCAAAAGCCTAGGGTTGGATCCCGGCTGGATGCCACCTGTTTGTTGAGTGACCTTCGATGGGTCTTGCTCCCTCCCAGAGCCTTGGTTTCTCCTTCTGTAGAATGAGGCTTTCGGATTGGAGGCAAATAGCTGCTTTTTATTGAGTACCTGCTGTATGCCAGGGACTCTGCTTCATACTTATGAGGCTTTAGGTGAGAGGATTAAGACCTAGAGAGGTGAAGTGACTTCTCCAAGGTGGCAGAGCTGAGCCCCTCCCCCAGGCTGCCTTCCTCCAGAGTCCGTGGAACTAATTGCCCGTAGTGGGGGCCTTTAAGGCAGACTCCAGCCTCCTTCCTTTTTGACTCTTTGGTCTAGGGTAAGTTCATTTGCTCTTTGAGCCTCAGTTTCTTTTAAGTCTGGTGCACAGTAGGCGCTACATACACGGCAGGGATGGAGGTGATGGAGTTGAGGTGATGGAGGTTGGTCCAGACACTGGCTCAGCGGCCTCAGTGTGTGGGGCTGCCCCAGCTTCCTTTCAGGGCTCTCAAGGCTGGCTGGCACTGCCAGGAAGTGCAGATGTTCGGCCTTCCACCCGTGCATGGCCCTGTCCCCTTCTTCCCTGGACCTCTCTTCAGCTCCTTATCCTGGCGGTCGGCAAGTTTCCTGTAACATGAGCATGACAGTCTCTTAAAGGCTGAGAAGCCTTGCTAACTGGGCTCTTTACGAGTCAGGCACTTGGTACAAATGACCTAGGACTACCCAGTAATGGGCTCTGGCCCTGCGGCAGGGGTCTGGAGGGAATCCCGGGTGGGAAGAATCTGTCCTTGCTAAGGAGGAGGGGAAGGACCCATAGGGAGGCCCACACAAGACGTCACTCAGTGCTCACCATTTGCTCATTCGTTCAGCCGCCTTTTCCCACTGGCCGCTCCCTACTGGGCCCTGCAGCAGGCAGGGGGGGAACAGAAGAACACATAGCCCCGCTCAGATCTCATGGTCAGCGGTGAGCAGGGTACAAAACCCAACAGTGACAGCACAGAGGGAAGGGGCTGTCGTGGAGCTGGTACTGGGATGTGGAGAAGCCTAGGGGATCATGTATCAGGGAAGGCTTCTGGAGGAGGTAATATCTGAGCTGAGATGTGTAGGAAGGGTAGAGTTTAACTAGGTGAAGACAGGGCGGGTGAGTGATCCATGGAGAGGGAACAGCATGTGCAAAGGCCTGAACACAAGGAGTGGCCAGGACCCCAGGTGAGAAGAGGAAGCTAGGTGGGCGTGGTCAGAGAGGGAAGCACGAGGTGCAGGGAGTCATCTGGGAGGAGCTTGGGGACCGTGTTCACAAATGTGGAAATGGGGGCCCAGAAGAAGGAAGAGGCTTGCCTGGGCTCTGGGCAGAGCTGAGCCTAGAAGCTGGGGCTCTGGACCTGCTGGCCCGGAGGATCTGTGTCTGTATGTGTGGTGGGGGGATCCACCTCCTTCACCCCTCCACTGTCTCCAGTCGGGCCTGGAGAGAAGGGTGCATTGAAGGCCCTGACTCCAGGGTGGGGCCCTAGGGAAGGAGTGGGGGTCCTGAGCTGTGTTGCAACGCCAGGGATACCCCACCTCTGTGAGCTGATGCTGGGGAGCAGGGCAGTGAGAGGGAAGGCTGGGAGTGTGTGGGGGGGTGATGGGGTTGGTGGGGGTGACCCCAGGCCTGGCCCTGGAAGAAGGCAGCCTCACGTAGGAATGTGTGTGTGTGAGTGTGAGTGTGTTAGGTGTAGCTGTGTAGCTGCACAGCAGGGATTGTCAGCGCACACCTAGGAAGGGCTTGTCTCTGCTGACCAGAGCCTCTCTGTGCAGAGGGTGTTGGGGTGGGTGTGCACCGCACTGCAATGGGTGAGCAGGGGGACTGGGGGGACTTTGCAGGGGAGTTGGCAGTGAGTGAGTGGGTCAGGGTGTGTGGGAGCCCCAGGGCAAGCGTGGAGGTCAGGGCTGGGTAGGAGCAGCGGCTGCCCCAGCCTGGCTCTGCTCAGCCCTCCCCTCTCCGTCTGTCCGTGCCCTTAGCCTTGCCTGCAGTACTGGCCGGAGCCCGGCCGGCAGCAGTACGGCCTCATGGAGGTGGAGTTCGTGTCGGGCTCAGTGGATGAAGACCTGGTAGCCCGTGTCTTCCGGGTACAGAACATGTCTCGGGTGAGTGACCCGGGAGCCCTGCGGTGAGGACCTGAGGGGTCGCTGAGGCAGCCTTGTTAGAGCCTCTCGAGGTCCCCATGGGGCCTTGTGACCCCAGTGCTCACACCCCCTGGCTGGCCGCCTGTGCCCCCAGCTGCAGGAGGGGCACCTGCTGGTGCGGCATTTCCAGTTCCTGCGCTGGTCCGCCTACCGGGACACGCCTGACTCCAGGAAGGCCTTCCTGCACCTGCTGGCCGAGGTGGACAAGTGGCAGGCGGAGAGTGGGGACGGGCGCACCATCGTGCACTGCCTGTGAGTGCGGGCCCTGCTGTGCGGTGGGAAGAGGGGGGGCCCTGAGGCCCAGTCTGAGAGAGGGGCTCACGGCTGGCACTAAACCCCCCCAGGGGCGGGGGGCCAGGCGGCCGTGGCCCGGACTCTGCGTGGCCGTGCAAGCATGGCCCTGTCTTCCCTGGAAGAATCCGCTCAGTTTCCAGGGTGTAGACTCAACCCTGAACAACTGTCCAGCACCCTCCGTGTGATGTATGACTTTGCCAATTAGAGTCCTGACAGAGCTGTTTACTGCGAGACACACTTGAAGCCAAAGAATTCCGGCCTTTGTTCGTGCATGCACACATGCAACGTTTTCATTCATCCCTTCACATGCCCCCATTCATAAATCCATGTGTGCCTGTCTGGGTGTGCTCGCTCCCCTGGCCCCACCTTGTCCTGCTTTTAACTCTTACCCTCCCGTGGCCAGCCTAGGCACACTGGATCCAGTGGTAGGGAGCTGAGTCAGGCGGGGCCGGTCCTCAGGGACGTTCTAGTGGGAGAGACCCCTTGAGATGGGGGCTGAGGGCCTAGTTTATCCCCCATTTCCCAAGGGGAACCCCACACCTCGATGTCACAGGGAGCGGACTAGGGAGAGCACAGTGGATAGGAAGTGACTCTGTTTGCCTCGGGGGGTGGGTGTGTACGTGTGTGTGTGTGTGTGTGTTCACCTTGTGTCTGTGTTGCTGGGGGCGTTCATTTTCCGTCCTGCTCTCCGGGGTTTGCTTGCCCTCTGCAGCCATCCTCTGTCGCTGTCTTTGTCTCAGTGGATTTCTCTTGGAGCGTGTCTAGCCTCCTTTCCCGCAGAATCTGCCGTCTTTCTCCTGGAGGCTATTTTCTTAGCTGCCCATGGGCTTTGGATGTTAGTTTTAGCGTCAGACTTCGCCCCTCTGAGCTCCCAGACCCCTAGTTCCTGGGTTCCCTAAGTCCCGCCCCTCACCTCTGGGCCCCCTGACCCCTCCCCACTGGATTCTCTAAGCTCCTCCCCCCGCCCCTCCCTCCTGGGTTCCACCCCTCACCTCTGGGCTCCCAGAACCTTACTTCCTGGGTTCCCTAAGCCCCACTCCTCACCTTTAGGCCCCGTGGCTCTTCCCTCCTGGGCTCCACCCCTCACCTCTGGGCCCCCCAGGCCTTGACCCTCCTCCCTCTTGGTTCCCTGGTTCTGCCAGTTCTTTGGTTTTCCAGCCTCAGGCCTCCCTCTCTTGAGCCCCATCCCAAACCTTGTGTGTGTTTCATTTAGAAACGGGGGTGGCCGCAGCGGCACCTTCTGTGCCTGCGCCACAGTCCTGGAGATGATCCGCTGCCACAACCTGGTGGACGTTTTCTTCGCTGCCAAAACACTTAGGAACTACAAGCCCAACATGGTGGAAACCCTGGTGAGAGGCCATGGCCCCCCGTCTAGCCACTTCCAACTTCCCGGTCCATGCCAAGCTAGTCCCTCTGCACCCGCTGTCCGCGGTGTGGTTCCCATGACGGCCTTTGGGTTCTGATCTGATGGTGCCAAAACTATGATCCACATTTGCCCCTTTCCCCCAGAGATGGGCCAGGGCTCATGCTCGCCCTCTGTCTCCCGCCCCCCACTTCCCCAGTATCAAAGAGGGACCAGGCTCATGATTTCTTCTTCTCTCCCTCTGCCCAGGATCAGTACCACTTTTGCTATGACGTGGCCCTGGAGTACCTGGAGGGGCTGGAGTCCAGATAGCGGGGCACCCGGCCTGGAGCACCCACTGTGTGCTCAGAGCCAGGCCCGGCACTGGTGAGGAAGACCTGCGCCCCTAACTGCTCCACGACAGCTCCCCTGGGGGAACGCACTAGAGTGGCCACCGGGCCATCTCGGCGCCCCTTCCACGGTGCACGGGGCCTTACACCGTGTCCGAGGGGCAGGCTGTGGGCCAAGGAGAAGCTTAGCGGGACTGCAGCCCAGCCCACCTGCATAGGGTCCTGCAGGTCGCGCTGTGTGTCTGGCACTGCCTGGTAGAGTGACAGCGGCTCAGAATCGCCGGCTAGGGAGGACCCGGGCCCAAGCTCCATGACTCCAGCCTCAAGCCCCTTGTCTCTGTCCCAGCCCTTGACAGAGATGAGTAAGGCCCTGTGGGGCCTGTGTGTGGCCAAAGTTTCCACCCAGCATGGCTTCCTCTGGATAGGGGTAGAGAGTGCATTGGAGCTTGGCATCTGGAATCCCATCTGGCCCGACCCCTGAGGGTCCTGGGTAGACCAGGCACATCAGACGGTCCTCTCTGGAGGGGACAATGCCCCCCTCCTCCACCCTGCTGCCCCTCTACAGCCCTGGGGATATGTTGCTCACAACCCCCCCCACTATTACTTCTTTGACGTGCGCTCTGAGCTTCCTTGTACCAAGATCTGCCTCCTCCTCACCCTGTTCTACGCGGGCCCCTTCCTGCCTGACCCAGTGTCTGCAGAATGAAGGCACCTTAGCCCTTCTTCCTATAACTTTCAGGCCTCACTGGCGGGTCCTCCTCAGCCTAGGCCATGATAATCTGCAAAGTTGAATGACAGCCCTTGGGGTTGAGGTCTGTTTGGCTCCGGGTCGGGCTACGCACTGGGGACGGGTCACTGCTAGATCAGGGGTGCCTGCAGCTTCTCCAGTTCAGCGGAAGAAGGTGTATTTTGGGACGGAGGAGCAATTCTCTTTTTGTGAATTTCATTATTTTTTGATGGGCGGGTGGGAAAATCTCTCGAAAATGGGGCAGGCCACACCCCATTCCGTGCCTCAATTTCCCCATCTGTAAACTGTAGATATGACTACTGACCTACCTCGCAGGGGGCTGTGGGGAGGCATACGCTGATGTTTGTAAAGCGCTTTGTAAATAAATGTGCTCTCTGAATGCCACAGAGAAGCCTTGTGTGTGTCTGACCACCCTGGGTGGGGCCTGCTCACCTGCCCCCAGTCTCCTGGTACAGCGGGAGGGCTCTGGGCTGGGAGGCAGAGCCCTGGGTCCAGTCAGGCCCTGATTTTTCCACTCAGCAAATGGTAGGGGTGTGGACCAGAGCATCACTCAGGGGCCTTCTACTTGTAGGGGCAGGTTCCAGAGAACTCTGACTACTGCTGCCTCCACTCAGGCCTCTGGAGCAGCTGCTGAGGATGTAGGCTTTATGCTGAGACCCCTGAGGGCTCCAGAGCTGCCTCTCACCTCTGGGGGTCTGAATCTGGGTTGAGCTCTTTTGAGGACATCATGGGAGGCTCAGGCTTTGGTATCAGGTGGATGGGCCTCATCGGCTTCAAGACCCTGGGTAAGTCAGCTGCCCTCTCTGGGCCTCTGTAAAATGGGGATGACGCTGATAAGATCAGAAGAGGTCCTAATTAAGTGCCTTGCATGGTACCACGGGTGCTGAAAGGGCTCTGAATACAAATACATTAGAGAGACAGACATACTCTGCTCTATGCTGATCACCCCAGCCATTCCCAGCCTTGGGCTTCTGCCAGAGGAGGAGTGGACGAGCTGGTAGGGATCTCAGTCACTCCTGGCTCTGTCATAAACTTCTGTCATCCTGGGCAAGACATTTCATGCTCCTGGGCCTCAGTATCTTCATATGGAAACTGGCTCTATGATGTACTGCTTCTGTTCTCATACTGGCTTACTCTCTGTGCCTCAGTTTCTCCCTTGGCCAGAGAATGCAACCTATGCCAATGACTTCAGGATCCAACATCTTTTAATCTCAACTAAGATTTTATTATGATCCCATTTAGCTAGGGTACGTGGCCCTCTCTTCGCCATACTCATTCTGAACTGACTGCTAAGCCTTAGCTGATGAGTGACAAGTGTATCTGACAAATGTATGTCAGATACTGGCCAAGCAATAGAATGTGACTTGCTGTGACCAATAGAATATGGCAGAAGTGATGGCAAGTGAGTTCTGGATCTTAAGCCTCAAGGGGAACTGCAGCTTTGCTTTTGCCCTCTTGGAACTCCACCACGTAAGGAAGCCTGTCTAGTCTCCTGTAAGGTTCGAGGGCACATGGAAAAGAACCATCAGAACGCATCCCATGAATGGCCAATACCAATGACAAGACTGCAAACAGGGCCATCTTGGGCCTTCCAGCCTGGCTGACCTCTCAGGTGAGTATAGCCACGTGATTAACTTTAGCAGAAACTGTCCAGCCAACCCCCAGAACTGGAAAAGATAATGTAAGTTGTCCTTTCTTTTAAGCCAAAGTTTTAGGATTGTTACGCAGCAAAAGCTAACTGATACATATGTGTTCTGAGCAGAGTGGATGCAGCTTTTAGTGTTTCTGCATTCATCCATTGCCCAGCAAAGGGCTGGTCTTCTAGCTGGTGCTCTAGAAAGGGAGTTGGTGTGAGAGAGAGAGGGAAGGAGAAAATGTGGGTCTGTCTGTCTGACCGTTGGCCTTACACGGCTTTTTAGGGGAACTGGGAAGGCAGGTCGTATATTGGGAGGAGCTCCAGCTTCATAATAAATAAGCCAAGGTCCCAACCCCCCTGCTCCACATTCACCAGCTGGTGACCTTGCACCCATTCAGAACCACCCCAGGCTCAATTTCCTAATCTAGAAAATCAACATAATACCTACATTCGGGATAAAATGTTTCCTGAAGAATTAGCATAGTCCCCTGGTGACATGAGTGGCTCTCAGTGCATGCCATCACGTGACACTGGGGTCCCTGACCATTAAAAGCCGGCCAGCATTATCTTTTCCCTTATCTCCTACCTAATCTGTACAATAGCACTCAGATCCCTGTCCTGCTGACTCCAAAGCCTGGGCCTCTGATGCTCTGCTCGGTGGCCAGTCTGGGTGGTGCCGAAAGCCAGAGGACCCCCGTGGATGCAACACCAAAGGGCTGATTTTGGGCTTGGGCTCTGATTTTCACATGCTCTGAGATGTCAGAGGTGGTGGCCTCTGGGACCAGTCGGCCTGTGGGGTGAGAAGACGCTGGCCCTGCCTGGCGCAGCCCTGGACCACAGGCCTTGCAGATGTGGGGTAGAAGCCTCCCTCCACCCAGATCCCCGGATTTCTAGAAGTACAGACAGACTGGCTGTCTAGTACTGCCAGGGCTGAGTTGGCGTTTTATGTCCTAATAAATCCGGCTGCAGGGGCCGGCCAAGGCGATGATCACCTCTCACCACCTCTCTGCCAGCCCCTGACTGGGATGTGGTATATATCCCGGGCACCCAGAGGATGTAGCCTTGGCTTTGATGGATGCCAACACTGTTTGCGAGGCCCTGATTGAGGGCGGGGCCTGTCACTGGGCCTCTGGCGACGCCCCCGGCTGACCTCTGACAGCGGACAGGAGCTTAATAGACAGCCCGTGGCAGAGGGCCATGCAGAAATGACGGTGCCATTGCACACGTAGGCAGAGCCTCCTTTGCTACATGATGGAGAGGGTGGGGCCTGTGCTGCAGAGGCCTTGGCCAGAGGGCCTGTCCTCACGGGGCGCCCAGGCTTCCTGACCTTCTGCAGCTTCAGGGCCTCATCTGAGCCTGAGAGAAGAAGGAGCCGAGGCGTGGTGGTGGCCCCAGGGCAGGGGAGGGGGTGTGGATAGTGTAGATGGGTTGCGGGGACCTACGGTTTCAACAGGTAGGGGCCAAGCCCCATCGGTCAGTGGAGGACGAGGGCTATGGGCCTGGGGAGGTAAAAAGCGAAGACTTATTTGGCACCTACAGTGCAGGGCTCACGTTGCCAAGAGCTCTGTGTGGATTGACACGTGGCCGTGGCCGCTCTGGGAAGCCTGTGAGGTAGGTACTATTATCCCCATTTTATAGATAAGGTCAAGGCTCAGGGATATTAAGTGACTTGCACAAAGGCACAGAGCCCCCAAGTGTTACACACACTGCAGCGGCCACAGTGACTGAAAAAAATAAGTCAGATCTATCACTTGCCTGCTCAGACCCTCCAGTGGCCCCCTATTGCTCTGTAAATAAAGGCAGAGCTCCTGGCCGTGACCTCCAAGGCCCTGTCTGACGTGGCTTCTGCTCTGTCTCTGCCCAAGTCCCTCCTGCCTGCTCCTTTGCTTGCTTTGCTCAATCTGAGCTCTTTGTCTGGGAGCCCTCCCCAGTCTCTGCCTGGCTGGTCCTTCTTGGGGCCAAGGTCCAACTCAGATGGTGGTCTCTCCTTGAGAGCACTCCCTGAATGCCCCGAGGTGGCCTCCTGCACCACTGAGCCTGTCTCTCTCAGGGCCTGCCTTACCCCATGTATGTCCCTTGTCACCTTCTCACAGTGGGTGACCAGCTGGCTCTCCATTGACTGGTTGTTCACTGCCTCCCCCACCAGACTGTGAGAGGCCCGGGGCCATGTGGATCTGGTCCCCTGTGTCCCCTGCACTGAGCACAGTGCCTGGCACATGCCAGCCACTCAATGACTATTTGTTGAATGAATGAAAGATGCATACTCTTAAGCGTATTATTTTTGGTCTACCAGATGGTCAGATGGTTCAATGCCATGAAGTCAGGCTCAGCCTTCACTATGCTGTGTGACCTCAGACAAACACCTGCCCTCTCTGGGTCTGAGTCTTCTGATCTGTCCAGCGAGGAGGAAGGACTAGGTTCTCTCTAGGAGCCCATTTCAAGTAGGGCACTGTCAGTCCAACATCAGGGACATTGGAGCTGATATGACTCAGTGCAGCCAGGCTACTGGCCTAAACATCCACTTTCTGAGTCTGGTGAAACATCAGGTGTGGTCTGCGCTTTGGTCTGATGGGTCTGGACACCTATGCTGGCAGGCCCCTACATTATACTTAATGTAGACATTGTCCCCAATCTCGCCAGCAATTCTGAAAGGGAGATATTACCAAAACCATTCGTTATGAGGAAAGAGGCTCAGAGAAGTGAGACAAATTGCTTAGGGTCACACAGCTAGAAAAGAACCCAGACAAGATTAGAACCCTTTTCACTTGACCCCAAAGCCTTTGCTTCTTAATCATCACAGATATAGTGGCAAATCTGAACCTGAACCACATCAACTGCTGCAGTTTATCTTGTCCATGAATCAGCCTGCTTTCTCAACACGAAGCCTAGCTCAGCCACCGACCGCTGTAGACAGGCTTAGCTGAGGCTCGCAGCCAAACAGCCTCCAGACTTAGTGGCAGGCACCTAGTAGGCCTGCAGAAAATGCTGTTGAGTGTGTGTTCAAGTGTCTGTTGAATCTTCACATGGCGGCTGTGGCCCGAGCCAGCAGGAGCTGCAGAGCTGAGAAAACCTCTTCAAGAAAAATGAAATGCGTCTCAGCTCACTTCCTACTTATTCCCAGAGGTGGGAAGAGGGAACCTGTCCAGGAATGTTATTTTCTATTCATTCAAAAGCCGAACAATGTGGCTTTCTTGAGCCGTGTTGATTTATGTGACTGCATTCTCTTTCTGAAGACAGCTGAGGACGGAGCTCTCTTCTCAGGGCTCCAGTCCGTGCCTGCTACCCACCCCCACAAGAGGCGAGCAACTCTTGCTCCTCTAGTTTCTTTCCCTAACAAACCCCTTGCTCCTTTTCATGTCTGCCTTTGCCCCCCAACGGTGTTTATTGATTTATTGTCTCAGAGCTCCAAATACACCCTTCTTTGCCCTGCTTTGTGATACTGGAGCTGGACCCTGTAAACAGTTCTTTTGCCAGCTGGAGCAGTGTTAGACTTTGCCAGTAGAGGGTGCTGGAGGGACACTGTAAAGGTGACAATAGCAACAAGGCACTTCCCTTCCAAGTGCTGGGCCTCCGTCCTTTAAAAAAAAAAAAAAAGAAAAAGAGGCACCTGGGTGGCTCATTCAGTTGAACAACAGACTCTTGATTTTGGCTCAGGTCATAATCCCAGGGTCATGGGATCAAGCCTCGTGTTGGACTCAGTACTAAGTGTGGAGTCCGTTTAAGATTCTCCCTGAAGCAAGTGTCTTGG